GCCGCACTGGCACTGCCGGCCGCGACGGAGCTGGCGGCGCGTTCTTCTCAGCCTCGGCCGTCAGCTCTGATTGGAACGAGAGCGCATCCAGCACTCCCTGCGGATTGTCCTCTTGCTCCTTTTTGGAAATGCCTGAGACTTGGAGCAGGACCTGCCACTCTGCCGGGAGGCCCTACGTCATGACGGGAGAGGGAGAGGGGGTGGGGGTGAGTGAGATGGTAAGAAATTTGCTGTGACAGAATCAGCGAGATAGTGTATGACTCTTGGTGGAGGGGGGGGGGGGAGGGGGGGGGGGGGAGACTAGGGGTGCGGGATACGTACGGTAAAGTCGCCCTGTGGAGTGATCGGAGGATGCGAGCGGAGATAGGGTGAGTTGCGGGGTAGGAGAGGGAGGATTTGCGGGTGGTGGGATGGGAGAGTGAGTGAGGGTGGGGAGGGGAGGAGGGGAGGAGGGGAGGAGGGTGTGTAGGGTTGGGTGGTTGGGTGGGTGGGGGAGGGGGGAGGAGGAAAGAGGGGAGGAGGGGGACATGATGGTGGACGTATGTAGGAGTGTGGGAGTATGGAAGTGCGTGTGTGCGTGTGTGCGTGTGGGGGGGGAGGGGGGAGGGGGGTGGACATGTGGGTAGGCATGTGGGTGGGCATGGCGCATGGGTGGCTGACGTACCGTATCGGCATCGTAGCCGACATGGACATTGTGGGTAAAGCCGACGGGCCCCGAAATCTGCATTTCAGGCTCTACAAGACGGGAACAAGTGGCCAAGGATGATGCCAGGGTGAGTATGCACATGTTTGTGGAGTTTCTATGGAGCAGGCCCTTGTGTAACCTGCTACTGACCTATGTGTGTGCGGCCAGGTGCGCAGCCATGGCCAGCGAGCAAAAATTGGGCGCAAAACCGAATGAAAAAACCATGGAACAACCAATCAATGAACAACGATAAAGCCAAGCGCGTAAAGGCAAAAGTGATCAATGACAATCAATGGAAAGGTGCCACATGAACGCTTTTCCCCCAATTACGCATGCCTTGCCTTGCTCCGGCAAGTGGCCCATATGCCACTAATGCAAAAATCCATGCATAATCTCGACGAGAAACCTTGCCACATTCGTTGCGTTTCTCGCTCGCTTGGGGGAA